AGTTTAGAAAACATACCACCCTAGGCAAAAGAAAAAGGAGAAGAAAAAAGAAAACATAGTACATAGTATAGTACTACATAGTACGTAGTAAAGGACAAGAAAAGAAAACAGAGTTTAGAAAACATACCACCCTAGGCAAAAGAAAAAGGACAAGAAGAGAAAACACCGTACATAGTACTACATAGTACGACAACATAGTACGTACTGCGTACACCCTAGGCAAAAGAAAAAGGACAAGAAGAGAAAACACCGTACATAGTACTACATAGTCCGACAACATAGTACGTACTGCGTAGGAAAGGACGAGAAAAGAAAACATAGTTTAGAAAACATACCACCCTAGACGGAAAAAAGGATTGCAAAGAAAAGAAAACATATACTACATAGTACGACGGCATAGCACGTAGTAAAGGACGAGAAAAGAAAACATAGTACATATAGTAGGACATGGCACGACATAGTACATAGTGCATACATAGTATGACACAGTACATAGTCCATACATAGTACGATATAGTACGACATAGTACATAGTACGCCATAGCACGTAGTCAGGGACAAAAAAAGAAAACATTGTACTTAGTACATACATAGTACCTTCATAGTACGACATAGTACATAGTACACAGTACTACACAGTACAACATAGTACGTAGCATAGTACATAGTAAAGGACATACATAGATAGTATGTAGCATAGTACATAGTAGAGTACATACATAGTACTACATAGTACACTGTACAACATCGTACGTAGCATACTAGAACATAGTACATAGTAAAGGACATACATAGATAGTACGTAGCATAGTACATAGTAGTACATAGTAAAGGACATACATAGATAGTACGTAGCATAGTACATAGTAGAGTACATACATAGTACTACATAGTACACTGTACAACATCGTACGTAGCATACTACATAGTAAAGGACAAGAAACAAACAACGTCAGACATCGTATATAGTACATACATAGTTCGGCGTAGCACATAGTACATAGTACATAGTACACAGTACATAGTACATAGTACATACATAGTACGGCATAGCACATAGTACATAGTACTGCATAGTACTACATAGTACATAGTACACAGTACATTGTACATAGTACTCCGTAGTACACAGTACACAGTACATAGTACATAGTGCAGTACTACACCGTACTAGCGTCTTAACCCGAAAACAAGGTACGTACCTTGCATTCAAGTTAGCTCCGGAAAACAGGTTCTGAGAAATCCCTGCTAAACTTTTGAATAGAAGGTACGCTCAAGTACAAGGTACGTACCTTGCATTCGAGGTGTGCCTGGTCTGTTTCAAAGAGAAGGTACCCCTGCAGACTCTGAAGTCGACTTCATGCGAGCTCTAGAACTGCATGCAGCTGTGGAATCGATGTGTTCTTTTCCAACAACAACAAAAAAAAAAAAACTGCACGCTGCGGCCCCGTCCTGGTAGCAGTCAATGCCCGCTGTGTTCGCCTGTGTAAGTAGGGGACTTGCGGTGGCACAACGCAGAGACCCAGTCCATATACATGCTGGCCATTCATCCCGTCCATATCTAGACTAGAAGTAGCCCCAAATACAGGCGATTGCATGTGAGCCATCGCGTCATCCATTGCCTCCTGAGCTTCTGCCAGAGTGTCATCGCGTCTGTGGCAATAAGGGAGAGGTAGTGGGCTTAGTTCTGCCAAATTGCAAATTTGCTTGTGATAAAATTGGAACGATACACAAGATGGAGGATGATGCTTGACGATTCATAAAATAAAAAAATAAAAAATAAAAAAAATGGAACGATACAGAGAAGATTAGCATGGCCCCTGCACAAGGGGTTTTTTCGTTGTCTTTTGTGGGGCACAAAACGACAGGCGGGAAAGCCAACGAAAAAGAAAAAGAAAAGGGAAGAAAACGACAACGGAGGGAAAACAAAAAAAAAGGGGGAGAAAAACGACAGCCGCCCGCTATCAGGCAATCAATTAACTGATATGATTTCATTATTTATTAGTTACATAATATAAAAGAATACACACCTGTGATGCCGAAAAAAGATGAAATCTCTCTGATTATGGAACGTAACTGATCGACGGCCCCGGAATTGAGGATCTTGCGGAAACAGTGAAGCAATCATCCTGAAAATGAGCGAATTTCCAAAAAAAAAACAAAAACAAAAAAAAGAGCACGTGCAAACACGCACAGACAGAAAAAGGAAAAAAAAAAACGAAAGAAAGTTAGACCCCCCCCCCAAAAAAA